ACACATCCCAGCTCCTCTCGAGGTGGTGGATTCTCTCGAGTGACACAATCGCCCCAGTCTGGCATTTATGAATGTACCCAAATACTGCACCCCACTCGATAACTTGCCAAGATAGTCGTAGTTTTCATTCACATTGTGTTATTTAGACCACAAATTGATCTCTTAACCTAGTTAATCAATGTTCTTCACGGTCCCACGTAGTCAATCGAAGCCGTTTCTCTGTGAAAATTCAATTTGGTGTTAACATAAGAACCTACACATGTGTCAGAGTTGGAAGAAATACAACACGCACAACGAAAGCTGTCAACATTTTGAAGTTCTCCATATTTCCAGCGTAATTACCCCTAAGGGAAAGAAATATGCCTCCCGAGATGGTGTCAGCGATCATAAATGTAGATGAATTAGTTGGAGTATGTGTTAGGATAAGTCTTGCATGCTCTGGTCAAGTGATTCCTGTTAACATAATGCTGGTCTAGGGGCTGCGTGCATGTCTCCGGATGCCTACGCTTGAGAACTTTTGTGTTACCTAGTGTGTCGGACAAAATTCCAGTTCTGTATTTACTTTATCAGATTTTTCCTTCGAGGATGACTGCGCAAAATTTTTCAACACAAGATTCAGGCACACTAACAGAATAGCAAACCAAAACGAAAATCTTCGAAAAAATTGCAGTGAAAAAGAAACCATGCTTGTACTCATATATTCTATCCATAGTGTCGGGGTCAACCGGAAACCTTTCTTGATCAACTTTTCATTCTGAGAGTTAATTCATTCGGAACGGAATTTTAATTATTCGGATACGCGTTTCGGCCAACCTGCTAGTTTACTAGATGACCCTTGTCCATTCTATGCCCTCGATAAAAAACAATACATTCGCAAGATACGAATTCCCGAAGGATTGTCAAAAATGGACTTTTGTGTGGATTGTGTTGTGGTAAGTATCACCTAGCCCATAAACAAAACACGAACTCCTGACATCGGTTAACATAGATTTATGATTTCCGGATAAGTAGATATTTCTGCTGTACACTTATCTATCGTGAAGTTCCAGTTTACAGCTTTGGATGCAAGAAAACACCACCAGCGAAGAGGCTCATTTTTTGCTGAATCATCCACTGGCTTATACATCACAACCTATTTCGTTATGCTTAGTGCGGTAAAGCTAAATTAAAGAATGAAGGAGAACAATCATATTCCAGTTAAATAACTGAATGTTGCTGATACTTTGCCCAATGGTTGTTATGGCCAGATAGCGGGTGATGTTTCGTGTGTGGTGATTACCGTGGAAGGACCAGTGTTCTTACGAATTATTTCTGTGACCAAACAGGGGGATTATGTAAGCGGGTTCCGATCGTTTTCACTATGGCTTAATTGCTACCCTCAAACCCATTAGACCGACGCTGCGAACTGAATAGAGACCAAACTTCTCCGCCACATTATTCACATGTTTTGACTTTACTAGATGTGAAACGATCCAACGATTGACGGTTCTAGTCACTCAGCCAAGAACTCTGAGTGCACTCTGTGGATAGGTCCTCCTTTAGGAGTCCACTTGTTACCTTTTGGTGGTGATTCGACTTCGTCTGCATTTGTGCTCTGGATATCATTTATCAAGAAAAACTATAGTTGAATGTATTTTTCTGTAATATTATTCACTATCCAGTATCTTACTCATTGGAAAAATTTACACAGAAACATAAAACCAATTTCTTGAATCTTAACGCTCATCAGGCATGCACACGCGAGACTCCTTTGTCCAGTCGTTGCAATACTTACAGTCTTCATGTGAACTCATATGGCAAGTAGTATTTGCAAACTGAGATAAAAACGGAATGAGTCCCCCAATCGAATTACTTTGACATATTTAGTATCGTAACTAATCGGATGTGCAACATATAGGTTTCTCCGTGTTCTCGGCAAGCTATACATTCCATGGTTTACATTTCCACACAAGAAGCATAACAACCGTAACTAACCTACTAGTTTTCAGTAAACCGGTCATCAGACTTGGTATGCGGTATGTTTTTCGATACACTCGTCAGATGATCACAGCAATAATGGTTGATCAAATTAGACCCGCGATAGTAGCTTGAGTAGACTAGTGCACACATCATTCTGAACCGCATTCCATCCCAATTTCGGTGCGCACAGTCGGGTAACCCCGCGATTGAGTAGCACGCACGCACACACTTACACACACATGCGTCGGTCGAATGATCTCACGTGCCTGTGTGTGTGTTTGGTTGCTCCTTATCACCTTCTCCGACGAGTACGGTAAGCTGAATCTCTAATGGATAGTTATACCACGAAGGTGAAACAGACTAGATTTATCAAATCCGAATATGTATATTATCATATCTTCCCCCCACTTAACACATTCTGCAAGCAATGTACTTAGATAAGATAATTGTGTCTTTGTAGTTCAGCCAACTGGGAAATTTTCGGTTGTTTTGTTTTGCAGGCATTCAAGAAAGTGGAAGCGCGATCACCGACCAAAACCGTTCTGCCCGGGGTGAATTTCACATCGGAACAATTGTTTTTCTTATCATTCGCTCAGGTGAATATTTTCATGTGAAGTTATTTGACTTGTGATCACGACAAATGGGATAATGTTGACCGGTCGCTTTTAGAGGTTTTTATGTCGTGTGTGTATTACAAACAGTAATAGGCATTTTAATGAATCTTTCTGCTTGATCGATTGTACATCGATGGATAGATAACATTTCGATACTTATTCACTCTTATTTCCCGGTTCAGGCTAAGGTAACTTGCGTTGTGCACAAGATAAAGCTGTACACAAGCCAAATAGCAAGATAAAAGTGTTTTTCTACTCTAACATGCCCCGAAGGTTTGTGCGTTTTCCGAGTCTCCGTTATGTTGCTTTACTGTCATCAGTTACAATATTTAATTCATCAGTTTTCGTTTTTCGTCTACATCGATTTGAATATATTCATTCAGCTTGTAACAAATATGGTAGCGAAGTAAAAGCAATTTTGGTCATGGGTAGGTTCAGCTAAACATATCAAGAGAAAGATAGGGAAGATGAATAGATCGATGGATTGATGGATGAACACCAGGTGAAAGACATGGTTTCTGAAGAATTCTCAAACCAGCCTATCGAGTGCTGATTAGTATTCCATCGCCTGAATTGATGATGCTTGTGTACTGAGCAAAAATAGTACGAGGTATTTGTTGTTCATATTTGGATATTGACAGGGAAACGTTTCGCAGTCCAATACCGTTACCAAGCAACTCGAAACTCGAGAACACCCACAAAGACGTGATTCATGAACCACAATAGCAAAATTGGTCTTACCTAGCTTCCTAATCCATACCCGACACCTCAGGACTTGTTTACTGAATTCGCTGACTAGATTCACCGCTGTTCGATTAGTCATTTGTTCACGACTTAGTCAGTAAATCAGTGGGGATGCAATTTATAAAACTGAAACTAACATCCGATGAGCATCCGGCAAAATATTCATCCTCTGCCAGTACCTTGAGCATATCAGGTGGTTAATCGCTTCCTGCATCTTAAAAAGCTTAAAGAGGATGTGATCTTGTGATTTGCTTCGAACCGCTTTCTATTGTTCCGATTCACATCTATGCACAAAAGCACATAATAATCAACTTATAGTCCAAGCAATAAAATTATAAGAAAGGGGGGTTTTAATACAACTTGCCAGAAATGGGATATAAGCAAGACGATGAGACTTACGAAAAGTGTGATCTCAACAGCGGTGAGTAACTGAAAAAGGTGAAATACGGAGTTCAGTTCAAATCACTTCTTAGTGCAGTAGTTTCACACTTGGCTGAAACAAATCACACACTGAATGTGACTAAGGTCTGCCTCCGGCATAGTAGTATTATTGTTTGATTACCAAAGCTGTCAGGTTCCTGCTCTTTCCAAGCGCAGCGGAAGCGCTTGGATCTCGTCTGAACAACCTTCCTCTCTGCGTGCCCAAAATCCATTAGTGGAGAGGCCTAATGTTCCCTGTCAGCCTGTTCCACATCTCTCGTTCCCAATAATCTCAACGAACGAGTGGGTGAGAATTTCACAGCCGGTGAGAGGATGAGACCAGATTTCTGTGATTTGAAGGTTTCCTTCCTCAAAATCATTTTCCCCTTGAGTAGTAACAGATATTCTGATCTTCTAGTGTCATTAAGAATCATCGCAAACCAACAGATTCGACACTTGGTGTTCTATCAGTAAAGTGCTCTGTGCCACTGTTCAAACACATAGCAGTGGAAAACTTGATTCACAAGAATAGTGACACCCAAAGCATGCTTGTGGAGTCTCCAAGTAGCCGAAGCTATAGAACTGGATTGCACTGTTTCAATCTCCAGTTGTCTTTTCATGTGTGATGTTGAGTTTAAAAGATCAAGCTTAAAGTTCCAAACAAATTTATTTTTATCATTTATTAGATATGGTGTGTGACAGAACTACCTCAAGCCGTGCTGAATGCGGTGTTGTTTGACGTGCACACAGTCGATCCATATCGGTAAGTGGAAGTGATCCATCAATGCATGTAAATCATCCCAGTTTTCATTTGAGTATCTCAATTCTTCCAGTTAACCGNTAGTGTAAAAGGGTCCATCGAGTATTGGAACCCCAGATCCTTCGCATGAAAGGATTTGTGCCAATACTATGCCAACCTGGTCACACCGAGGTTGATCAGGATTGTAGATTCCAGTTTTTTTAAATCTTCTTTAATGAGAGTCACTCAGGAGTATTGCATGTGACACTCTAGAAGAGGTACACTGTATGGTCTCTATTCATTTCTGTTGAATTTCTCCCACAGGGTCCCAATATCTTACATACAGTCTCGGGTACTGTTACATAATGGAGTCAACTATCCACAATTAATTTGATGAAGGACAGTCAGCTGGCATTTCTACCTCAGTTATTTAATTCATACTACTATCACATTTACCAGTAGGTAAATCATAATATGCTATATTTTTGTTCTCCATCCTTCTAGTGTCATCGGGACATTATCGAATTCCGAGGAGTTCGCACGTGTGTTTAACTGTCCTGTTGGTTCCCCTATGAATCCTGGAAAGAAATGTGCAGTGTGGTGAGCTTTTCCCTGAAAACGAAGTCCTCNAGTCCTCACTGTTTATTGTTCAACAGATAATCATAGTTTTAATGTGTACGAATTTGAGGAACCTGATAGCAATCGCTGCGATCCTTCTTTGTCTCCCTCCATTATTCTTTCACGAAGAATACAAAAGAATTTCGCTCTCGATAAACATAAATCCTCATTCATTATGTGTCTCCCAAACTCTCCTTTCTCACCATCACAAACAATTAGCTTGTGGAAAATCACTATAATTCTCTTCTAACGCGTTCGCGCGCACACAAAGACAAACATACCTCAGAACTATCCTATTCCCAAAAGTTGCATTTTCTTCTCCGCATTATTCTTTTCCAGTCTATCCCGAAAATCGCGTTTACTTTTTTCAACAACGCACGGCTGCAGTCGACCCTATTTTCCCTTGATCTACGAATTGAAATCACGTATTTTGATTACATGTTGCAGCCAATCAATGTGCTTGTCAGTGTTCGCAACACAATCTGTCCTGAATCGTCCATGGTGACTGCATCGTCAGAATGTCTAAATGCCATGTACAGTGCACATGGTCAGTTCATCTGGCGTATTCCTATATGCAACTGCAGATGAGAACTTTAGTATCAAGTCCGTTCCCCATAAGCAATGACAGTCATCTGAATTGAATGTTTACATGTTCTTTTCTACGCGTATCATTCTGTAGGCCATATTGTCAAACGCTGCATTGTATCGAGGTGGTGCACGTGGAAAATCACCTTTGTCTGTATTATTCCAACACTTTTTGTCTTGCAAACACGCACGCCACACGAACACAGACAAGCAACTACGTAAAAATTTACGCACCATATTATACCGTGGAAAACAAGGGTCCCATTTCCCACGTACATGTAGCCATACATAAAACCACATCCACGTTTATGTGTATGTGCCAGCAGTTGAGTACCGTGGAGCGTTTGAGAGTAATTCTGTGTTTCAATCGTTCAATGCTTTGCACAATCATTTTGATCACTAAACTTCATAATTGTCTGTCACTGTTTTGCTGCCTGATTCTTCAACTTCACTTCACTACGACACAGCCAGTTGTTGGTTGTCTATTTTCTTGTCTTCCTCTTTGTCTATCTGTAGGTTTGTCTGTCTGTTTCCCCATTTGTCAAGCTACATGTATGATCCCCTATGACCCACTCTCTATCTGTCTGTCTGTCTCTTACTGAACACTGGAACTGAAATCATTACATTACCCTGATTATTGGTATTATCAGTTCACCCTATCTGTTTATTGATGTTGGTGTTCATCAGTGTTTTTGTGTTTTCCTAATCATTCAATCTGTTCACAAACAAGGAGTTACTCAAAGGTAGTAATAATTAACGTATCGAAAATTCGAAATGAAAAGATTTGACATATAAATGTATGTGTGGAACACAGTTTTCTTGCCATCTGTTGGATCACGTTTTGTATTAACCGCAGTTTAGCTGAGCGGAACCACAGTTTGGACACCATTCAATCAGAATGCGAATCCAAATTGTATTGTGTTCCTAAGCGAGTGCTCACGCAAGCAACAAAAACAGCAATTGTATCGTAAACGTGAATGCAGTTACGTAATATGAATACAGACTAATGAAAAAGAATAGATACAATGGCTAATATTTACATAATGTGCTCCTTTTGAAACAACCAATCGGACTTAGGGTAAAATGGCGGAACCGCGGTCGGCAGTAAAAACAAATCACACAGATTTTGAACCAGTGCAGCGTAGGGAAAATGCAGTCGAATAATTAGGTTCACTATCACTCGCTTAACAAACAAATGGGTATGTAAGATACTAATATATGAAATTATAATTGGCCAATGACGGCAAACCTTTTCCAGGTTTTTGGAAAAAAGTCGAATTCAAAAACAGGGATATATACAATAAAAATGTCATGCAGTAAAAGATTAGCTGCCTACTGTAACCCACAGGCACCGGAATCTATGTTTCACTTAAAACTAAACAGTCGAACAAGGAGTGATGAGCTATGTAAGAACTCAATGGATGATAGTCGACAAGACGCCAGTGTAGCTGCATATTCTCTGTTGCTGATTGTTGTGTTATATTGCAAGAAAAAAAGAATATCTTGCACAGCTTGCAATTATCACTGTGGGGGGTTTGGTACAGTTTAGTGTTTTCAGAAATATTCGTGGATTCCTGGCACTTCAAATAATTCGGCTGCTTAATTAGGGTTGGTGTAATTATCTGATTGAACACGACATTCCAGTTAGAACAATATGTTTCTTTCCCTGAAAATTGGGGACGGTGTTACTGGTTTTAATGAAACTATGTTCCCACTCTCTAAATTCCATATAGAAGCGTCAAATAGTTCACACTTTAAAATGTTTATACGTACGATTGAAATCCATGCTGATTGCTTTCTAAAATCCTACTTAGAACATATATAATAATTGCATTTATACGCAATTTAACTAAAAAATAAGGCGGCCAATCTGAGGGACGTTCCGACAGTGTCAAAGGAGAAAACAAAAACATGTAACAATTTCTCCAAGCACATTCCCGATTGATGTGTTCCCTAAATCCTTCCTTGTCAAGTATTTCTACTTTCAAAATTTTGATTAAAATCGAAACGTGATGACCAACCAACAGTAAAGGATAATTACTTTCTCCCCGGTTACGAATTACAGGAGCAGCGTACTGCATTTGTTTGCTGATCGGTATACAAACGGTCATTTTCCAGATTGATAAACCAACCCCTTCCTCCGTAGTCACGCTCAATACAATCAATCCACAGACCCTAATGCTTATGGATTTGCATGCACACGGTTTTGACGATGGGTAGTGCAACACTGGGGTATGGTTTTGGACTCCCGACCACAAAGTTTATCGTCCTAGACCTGACAAAAACAGAAGCACAGTACTTATCTGTGACGACATTCAACAAGGATGAAGCAGCTGTCCAATGCTCCTTGATAGTCACAATAAATATGATTCCGTCATATTTAAAAGCAAGCATTTATGACTTTTTTCAAATCAAGTTGGTTTTGAGTGAGATGGATAACCACCTGAGGCATATGAGACAAATTTAAGATAAGATAAATTTATTGGACACAACTAACATTTTACACCTGAAAAACACATATGGTTCTGGATCGCTATTCAGAAATTTCTCATTCGCTTCTTTCATGCGGTCTCGAATCAAACACTAATTCAAATCGTGTGAGGCGCATTTGTCATTCTGTTTTTCCCTAAAACTGATGACATAAATTAGCGGTCATGGCGAGCGTATTGTGGAAAACTATAAGTGACTTATAAGTACGGGTGAATTTTCAATCGAATTGGGTTCTCTACATGTTTGCGTTTCAATTACTTCATCACCCCATTGAAATCACAAGCACTCTGCAAAAACTGCACTCATAAGGCGCAGCATAGGTTGACCAATGAATCGACCCAGTAAGCAGCAAGACTGAAAGAAGCCACGTATCGCGAGGTTCAGTTCAGTTCAGCTTCCACAGGACGAATATGGCTCTTGCCAATCGAGCGTCCAGTTCGTTGTGTTGTCGGTGGATGGTAGTAGCTTCCAACACTGAGTACAGTTGATTAGGTGTTCGCGATCCTCTCAATTTAGCCCCGTTGTTAACACTTCATTTCATCTCCTCAACTACTAACGTTAAAGCACCGACGTACATGTAGACTTAAAGCACTTGGGGTTGATAAATCCTCGTGACCACATACGTACATACAGGTGTTGACCAAACTCGTGCAACATCACCCTCATTTTGAAAATCCATTTCAGCTTGCAATAGCATACTTATATATGGATGGTTATGAGTACAGTGTATTTATTCCTGGCTTTATCTCCAACATCTACGTTCTTAGCTCATTTCTATGATCATTTAAATGTGCGCGACCTTGAGTGTCGCTATAAAATTTGCAGTAGTTCGAAAGTTACAGCTCTGATTTGAAAAATACTTTGGGCAAAGTAGCGTGCGTGTTCATTCTTTTTAATAGAGAGGAACAAATGTAATGAAAACTAGGATGTTGCACGAGTTTGGTTTATACCTGTATAGGCAGAGTTCTAAAAGTTAAACACAATGTCAAGTGCTTGGTGAGTGATTACCGAAATAGTCCCACAGAGCACATGTCAAACCAGAAACAGAGTGGCGTATAAATTCTTTTTCAGAGACTCGTATTCATGCCAATATATCTCATTATATCACTACTTGGGGATAAAACTGTTCTACTTTTGCCAGCATCCGACAGCAAATCTGCCTCATTAATCGCCCACGAGCGGCATATTAGGGGGCGAAACCCTCGAACACGTCCACAGTGTGATTTTTTCCAGTTAGATGTGAGGCCACTGAACTGGTGAGTGACTTAATCTTTCCAGTGTTCAGCCACGTAAAGTGATATTTATAAATGCGTTCGGACAATTGCCTGACCGTGTGGTCTATGTACGTTGTTCTACAGGAACAAGTACATGAGTATACACAGAATGCGACCGCAGAGTCTGGAACTTCGTTCTTCAGTCACAAACACAAACACATATGTGATCATGGTGAATCCGATTTCCGGTCTCACGATGAAATCATTTCTAGCAATCAGTGATTTTATTTCATTTTCCCAAGTCAATTTTATTCCCAAGTAGTGATATATATTGAGATGTATTGGTCTGAATACGAATTCCTGAACATGCGCTTCTTCGCCACTCTGTTGTCTTGTTTGAATTGATTACGCCAATGACTTTGAACGCACGAGGCTGCAGAATATTTCGTTTCTTAAGCCTGTGAACGATCAGAGTAACTTTGGTACCATTTTTACTGTGTTCATCCGCATAGTAATGAATTTCAAGAGGAAGAAAGTTATGATACACTATCATTGTGGGGTATTCGAATTATGAGGCGCTAAGGTAGTGACTTGCAATGTTTGATCAACTGAAGACCAACATGGAGCGACCAGTATCCACAGTTCTCCCGTTTCTCTCCCATGGCTTGCAAATGTGGACTGGCAAATCTCTTCGTCA